AAGCTGGAATAGTAATACATTACTAAGCTCTTACTATGCTTTGTGATCTAATGCGGAAAAAAGTCACTAAACGTTACATATTGTAGCAGTGCAATTCAGAATGATTTATAATAATATCTAATTCTCTGATTTCTGAAAGCTATATTACAAATGAGTTCCCTTGTAATTCACACATGAATAGAATCATTCTTGTTGTGTATTTCATTATTCTGACACACAATACAAGAAGTACTGTAAAAATGAAAAGTGCTGCAGAGACCGTATTTGACTGCATTCATTTCAAGAGTGATGTATAAGTTCTTTGGTCAGATATCAGGAGGTTCAAGGTCTTTCTGCATGTACCCTGCCATTCATAGAGAACACAGTAAGATTTATTTACATCACCTTCACCATTAAAACAATTAGTGTGAAATAAAGGCGAAATTAGACAATAGTGTCAGAAACATTACTTCACACTTTCCTGTAAAACACCATGATGTGTCCTAACTCTAGACATTTAGCTTTGACGAGAGCTCAGCATTATATCATTTAGCCAAAGCTTTCACTGTAGATGTTACCTCATTCATAGAAAATGACACTATGTATTTGCAGCTTCACTGGGGACTCAGAGGTTCTCCGTAGACTCACCTGTTTCTTAATGCACACTTCCAGATGTTCTACAGCTTTGCTAAGCCTTCTTTGCTTTCCTGTCTGTATTTATATACTACCTAGTTTGTGTGGCTTAAACAGGGACTCTCAATTTTTTTTCTGTCAAGTAAGGCATTTTAGATGTTTTAGATTATAAATAGATATCTAACCTAAAATTAAACTACAAGTAAAACATTTATATGCACACATATACAATTTGTTCGATTAGGTCTCCATTTCAAAACAAAATATTTTTGGACACAATATTTCTAAATTTTAAAAGTATCCCAAATGTATATTCTATATATTTGATGTATGTAAAAACAAAGTTTACAATAGTGACAGTCTTAAAAATCATGAAAATTTTTCTACTGGAAAGAGTAATCTAATTCAACTATGTAAACAATTAGACACTGGAATAAGTTAGGATCAGAACTGAGTAGCTCTAGAAGTTCGGAATATTTTTTTCCCCTCCTTTTTTTGATCACTTTAAATGATTTGACCAATATTCTGAGAAAAACAGTTTTCAGTGTAAAGATTTTTCATGCCAATCAGAATTCTCAGTCTTAATCTCCTGTTCAATCTTAGTTAAGTACATGTTGTCATCTTCTCCAAAAAACTGTAAAAACTGGAGCACATGAGGATAAGACACTCAACATAGATGTTCATGCAATGTTATTAATGGCCCTTCCAGAGTATGTTCCACAAATCATTTAAGAAGGCGCAAACAAGTATACACTGCTCACAGAAGCACATTAAAGACAAGGGATCACAGATGCAGACTTGACGTTACCATTTTTATTAAAAAAATTTCAGCTAGAGCCTAGTCTCAGAACAGAGAAAACAACCAGAGGCAAACCAAAATTTGGTCTTGAAGCAGAAAGAGAAGAAGGGAGAGAGGCAAAGCTATGTAATATTGCACAGGGAAGACGATAAAGACCATTTTATTGTATGGCTAGCAGCATTTTAAGAATACCGCACACACAATGGGATCAACTATATGGTAGGACTGGATAAAGCATAAGGCTCATATTTCATGAAAGACAGCAAAAGCAGGCATAAAATATAAGCCAAGCTCAGGTCTGGAAAATCATGGCTGTACGCATACACAGAACACAAAAACAGACATAAGTTATGTACAATTATTAGAATGATTCTGTGTCTCAGCTATTTCTTCTCTGCCAGAGCACTACTGAGACATGGGTCATTGTCATGTCTGGCACCAAGCATTTAAAGATTACTAATTCGACTGGTATCTGTTGCACCCAGGTAATTTATATATGGCAACAAAATTACAATCTCTGTTGTTTCTAGCTCTTAGATGGTAGTGCCAAAATAGGAAAGATGCAGCATAACATTAAATTTAGGTTTGATTAGCAGAGTAGATCTGCACAATATAATTTCACTGAGTTCATTTCAGTGGTTTTTTTCCCCATGTAGCTTCAAATCTGAAGTAACAGACTATCAGAGAGCACGCTAAAAGAAGCCAAACCTTAGAAGCCACAAATTCAGAAAACATTCAAGAGATTGACAAACACTTCAAACATTTACTTGAATATGAATTGTTCTGATCATGTGTCCACACCAATAAATGAAGAATCATTCTAAAGTTGTCTCCTCCTAACAACATTTATTTTTAACTTTTCAAAGCACAGCATATCACTGCAAAGTATTCATGCTTCAAAAAAATTACATTTATGAAGAGGGAATTACTTGTAGTTAACCATAAAAAAAGATAGCTCTCCTACCTGCTCTTTGCACTTTTCCTTTCTCATTATTATTCATAGTAGATACATATTGACTTTTATAGTTAATTACACTGAGTGTTAGGTTTTGCTACAAACCATCCCTATTTCCACTGAAGTCGGGACAAATGACCATGACTAAATGATCCTGAAAAAAAAAAAAAAAAACACCTTACATTGCAATCTGGACACAGAAAGTGCTCAGATATTTACATCTGATTCTGTTCAAACTAGGCTTCCTTTTAATAGATGATCAAATCTTTTGTTGCCTATTTATGTTTTCAATTGTGAAAAAGCTCAAAGTGCTCTCAAAAAGGGAGTGCAAAGATGAAACATGATTTTGCAGACATTATGAGGTCTTATCTTTTGGACAGAGGGTGCACAGCCATTCTTCTACTTTATACTGCCAAGCATTATTAGTTCACATTAAGATGAATATTTTAATCCATAAATTCTTGCCTAGACACGTTGACAGTATCAACAGCCAAAGTAAGTCTCCAAGATCTGTGACAAAGAATGAGGCATGACATAACACTGCTCAGTCTGATTTAGAAATGTAAGACCGACCAAAAATTTAATACCTAACAGAGGAATAACACTGGTGCTGAACAGAGTGGCAACTGTTGTCTATAACATTATTATGAGAATTACTAAGTGCAGTGTAGGAAATATACACAAGAAACTAAAGATATCCATATAAAACAAGAGCAAAATTGACCAACCCATAACACCAAACTGTAAATTTCCTTTCAGTGTTAGCTTTTCACAACTGTGCTTGGCACGTATGCTTTCTGCCTACAAGAATAGAGACTGTGTAACAATACTCTGAACTTACACAGAAAAAACATTTAATTCAAGCTCTGATAGAAGAAAAACCTAAAGTAAAAGTTAACTAATCCAAGTAGCTGTATTAGTATTACCTTAGACTGGAAGCCAAGCAGCCGACACATATCTAGCTCAAGGGCTTATAGCTGTGTCTTTGGGGTTTTAAAAAAGGAGGGGAGGGGGAGTGGAAGAGATTATATCTGTTGACAACCAGAATGTTTTTATAGTTTAAATAGATGAACCATGCCATTCTTCTTGGACAGTAATTTCTATACCCCGCTTGCTCTGTAGTATATTATGCAGCAATGGAATAAATGTTTCTTAACTGACCACATCAAGAATTCGACCATGCAACAACAGCTCAGGTAAAAATCTCCTAAAGCCTTGAGCAACAGAACCAGTTTTAATCCTCCAGAATTCAGACCAGAATGCTACAGGTTAATTCTGTTTCTTTTTAGAATATATGTTCTGACCTTCGTTTCCAATTATACATTCATCAGAAGCAGCTAGGAAAAAAACCTTGAGACTCCCCCTATAATGTATCTGGAATCTGGTGTACTAAAAAATGTGATTTTGACAGAGTGAACCACAATATTCCCATCCACCTTAACTTGACTTTGTTGCTAACAAATTACTGGGGTGGAATTAAAGCTCAAATATGAGCAAAAAAGTCATGAGCACTGCTAGATGAGCACTAATGCCATAGAAATAGCCATAGCAATTTGACTCAGATTCCATTATTAACATTAGTTTGTATTTCTGAAAAAAACACGATTGATCATGCAAGCCAGTAGTAAAGAATGTGAATAACTAAGGCATGCATAGTGTTTCTGAAAGCTTTCATTATACTAATGAAATGATTGGACTGAGCTATTCCAGCAATGCTTTCACTTACAATGCTTTGTAACACCTTTACCTCTAACTGTCCTTGTCAAAAGGCTGTGGATAGGCAATGCAGAATCATTCATTAAAACCAGAGTCTTCAGGTAGCATAGACAGTGATAGAAGCATTGCAAGTTGAAAAGTCCCAAACTGATGTCATAAGAAGCATTTTCAATAACCCATCCTGTATTATTAATTTATTCCTAGCAGAAGTTAGAAACAGTAAAAGGATCCTGTACACCTACTAGAATCACCTTCTAGAGTTTTCACATATTTATTGTTGTATTTTCAGGTAGCCTTCACTTAAAGTCAGAAGATTTGGCAAAATACTTTTTTTTGGCCTTCCAAAGCCTCCACAAACATGTATACATAACTCCATTGTACATTGTTTAGTTTTTACAGCAAAGTAGCATTCAGTGCAAAGCTATTAATATTATCGCGTACCATACTGTCCAAAGTTTGGAGAGTCAAATGTCAGCTTTAGGTAAGTACACAAACAAAAAAGGGTCTTTTTCAGAGCACTGACCTGGAATCAGAAGTTCCAGCTGCTTCTAGTTCTGCTACTGGTTTATTAGCTGGGGTTAGGCAAATCACTTCTTTCGCCATCTCAGCTTCCCCATCTGTAAAAAGGGTGGTAACAACATTCAGTCCCTTTTGTGATTGCTTTTGACAGCTATAAATAAAGAGGAATACTGTTACTATGAAATATACATTACTTTCAATTGATCATTGATCTATATATTACTGCACTAAAACAGCTTGTTCCTGTTTTCCTTTCAGTTAAAAGGAGAGGACACACACACAGTCACAAAAACATCAAACTATTGTTTGTATTGTTACTAAATAATGACTGTAATTTCTTTCTTTGTTTAGGAATAAAATATAACATGGGATTCCAGCAACCCAAAAAAGTAAGTTTTCAGAAATACATAAGGAAAGCTGTATCCAGATTCAGAACATGGAACCAAGATAGAGGTGGCTCAGATAAGGCCACTAGACTGGACATGAAGCACTGAACAGAAATGATGCATCAGAGCTTTGCTGTGAACTGCATTTTTTTCAAATGTAAATTTGATAAGCTATGCAAGTTCCGTTTTATGAGGTTTTTTGCTAGACTGGATATTGCTAGGAGATACTGTAAACTTTGCATATTAACATTCTGAGCAAAATTCTACTAATAAAATGAATGGCCCAAGAGATACTTAAAAACAGGCTAAAGAAAAATACTGGTGAAATTCCTCCATCTAGTGGCTGTTAGCACACTCACAGCAGCAGTGACAGCCCATCACAGCTATTCACTATTTCATAATCCTAGGACAAGTGCAAAATGGGTGAAGAACAACTGTGCAGCTGCCAGCTGTTTATCCAAATGGCACTGCCTGAAGAAATCAGTGAGATGCAACTCACGTTGCTCCATCTCTACAGCTCCAGCCTGACCTTCCGGATGGAGCGAATATGAGTTACATCGACAGAAGACATTCAGATCATGGCATTAGAGATTCCTCTAATGTAAAACTGTAGATTCATCGTATGCATCATTAATGATGAATATCTAGGGGGGGTCTAAACATGATAATCTTGATATATCAACCATATCACGAGTACAGAAAATTGAATTTCAGCCACTCTGTAAAGGCTGTTCAAAAACACAGCATCATAGCTGATCTTCTACATAGACACCGAAACTTAATGCACATTTGAGTACTGGAAACACCCTCTGAAGACAAGAGCAGAGTACAATAATCATTCCCTCAACTGAATATATAGTGCCTTCTGTGACAAATTATCAGTTGGTTTCCCAGTCTGCATATCCCATACCACCATCATTACCAGAACAGGCAAAAAAGGAAAAAGAATCCCTTCCGCACACACACTTCAGAAACATTACTTTTGATGACCGTAAGAGAAAGCAAACATCCTCTGATGTTTTGCACTTAGTTTTGGTTCGCAGCATACAATATACGTAGTGGTAAAAAGATAGAACTCAGCATGTTTCATCTTAGTTCTGCTACAATCTGCGCAGTACTCTACAAACTGTGTTTAATACTGATGTGTTCTGTCAGAGTTTTAAACAATAGTTACCAATTTAAGCATGTCACTTGCAAAATAAACAATTTTTAAATTTTTGTCACCTGTGCCTGTTGTAGTAAATATTGCAGTTATCTTTTTCCCCTCAAAAGAAGTTTGGGGCTAGAGAGTCTCTCTCACCCTTAAAGAGGCACGTGGCAAGACAGCAAACTTGTGGTGTCATACAGGTTATAGAAGAAATGCTGTAGTTAACTCATAACTGAAAGACAAGAAATTCATAATCTAATCTAGACCCTGCTGAAGATACTCACTGGACTATGCATGGAAAGTTCAGCAGTTAGCAAAGCGTTTTCCATGTTCAACGGGATCTGACTCAAGCCCAGAGTGCACAGCCCTCTGCCATATCTTAACCAGAAAAAGACTTGTAACATCACTATTGCAATTTTTTAAAGAATTAATCTATCCTGAAAAGATGTGACCTCAGTAATCTCCATACTGTACCTCTGAAAATTCACTAGACATTTTATGTTTGAAGTCACCCAAAAAATTACTAGGAAGCAAAATAAAGCCTGAAAATCAGAAGTTTACAATTTATAACACCTGTAGGTGTTAAATATTTTCAGTAGGAAACACACATTCTGTGACTACTTCTGCTTCCTCTTTTGAAATACTCCTTAGGAGTTCATACACAACTCATCTCCCAGGTGAGTTCTCAAAACAGGGATGACCTGTAGTTAAATAGTGTCCAGAACCTATTTTCAGTCTTAGAAGCATAAACATGTAGACAGGGATTAAATTCAGCTGCTTTGAGAAGCAGAAAGTAACAGAGCATGTCTGGGCTGTGTGCCAAGGAGTACTACGCAGCGCAATCCACCTAGAGAAAAAGAGCAGGTCCCAGAAAACCCTTACCCATAGACCCACTTTCCTTACTTTGTTTTCACTCCCTCTAATCCAGGCCACTGCTTCCATAAGCACCATGCACTTACTAGATTGTTTCTCATCAAGTCACTGTTGTGTTGGTCCCAGCCTCACCTCACTCAAGCATCCCTCTAGGTCCCTGGTTATGCTGCTCTCACCAAAACCACTTCCCATCCAGAAAGCCTGCATGTTCCTGTTGCAGTCCTTTGCTTCTCTCCTCCCATGGCTGCTCAATGCACAATTACCCTCACTGCAAAGTTAAGCTACTGGAGGAGACGATGCGTGTGTGTGCCCCTCAACAGGCAATCTGGCGCACACACAGTATTCAAAATACACTTAGGCACCACCTAAGCACAGTGACATCCAAATCTGACCTGCAATTCAGCAGCTCAGGCTCATCTCTGAATTGCACTTAAACATAGAACAAAGAGGAGGAAAGTCATTACCCCCCCGCGAGGGCTGGCAGCAACGCTCTCTACTGCGCGGTTCTGCTGAACGCAGAGCTGTACGAGTAGACCTACACTGAGTTGTACAAGCTGCTAATAGTGACAAACTCTCTCATTTAGTAACATCTTTCATCTATTTTTCCATCAGGACTGCATTTCCAGCAATAACCAGGATGGAAGATTAAGAAGAAATACCGCAGATGGAGTAGCAACAGTAAAGCTGAGCGGTTCATTACACCTATCTGAAAATGCACCCACTAAGCTTCAAAGCACAGACAGAAGGCAAAGCAGCATAATGTTTGTGATGAAAGAACATCAACAGAAAGGTGAGGAAATTAATTCTATGAGGCTCCATAAACGGAGGAGGAGATTTGTAATTAAAAAGAGCCCTATTCTGATTTCAGTGAACAGCTCTACGCACAGCCTGCCCACACTTAAATCTGAAGACAGAAATAATAAGTGGAAAAGTCTCCATCAAATCCAAACAGAAAGAAAGAGGATAATGAGGGAAACTTGTTCTAAATACAAGAGTAATAATAGGAGAATAATCACTCCTTATCATGTTTCTAGAATATTTGTAGAAGACAAATACAGAGTTTTATACTGTGAAGTACCAAAAGCTGGATGTTCTAACTGGAAACGGGTACTCATGGTTCTTAATGGCCTGGCTTCTTCCACAAAAGATATCCAGCACAACACAGTGCACTACGGAAACTATTTAAAAAGGTTGGATGGGTTTGACCGCAAAGGAATTTATCACAGGCTCAACACTTACACAAAGATGCTTTTTATTCGTGAACCTTTTGAAAAGTTGGTATCTGCATTTCGGGACAAGTTTGAACATCCAAACAATTACTATCATCCAGTTTTTGGAAAAGCCATCATTTCCCGATATCGTGTCAATGCCACCAAAGAAGCATTAAGGACAGGCTCTGGAGTCAAATTTAAAGAGTTCATTCAATATCTCCTTGATGTACACAGGCCAGTGGGTATGGACATCCACTGGGATCATGTCAACAGGCTTTGCAGCCCATGTTTGATAGACTACGACTTTGTGGGGAAATTTGAAAGCATGGAAGATGATGCAAACTTTTTCTTGCACCTAATTGGTGCTCCGCAGAATTTGACTTTCCCTAAGTTTAAAGACAGGCATTCCAATGAAGAAAGAACTACCACTAAAATTACACAACACTATTTTGCACAGCTTTCTCCTTCTCAAAGACAGCGCAGTTATGATTTTTACTATATGGATTATCTGATGTTTAACTATTCAAAGCCTTTCGAAGATTTATACTGATTTGAGAACAGAGACACTTCTACAGTCGTAACAGCTGAATTGCATAACAAACCCAGGTAGCTTCTGTTATAGATATACTCGTCTGTTTAGTAAACAATTGGTTGAAGAGCAACAGAAAACATAGAAACACAGAACATAAATGGCTAGTGATGTTTACATCTTCACCTTAATTGCCTCCTTTTTCAAATCATATTTTTTCTATAATTTCTCTGTATGAAATGTATGTACATATATGTATAATCTTACATGTCAGGGCGCACAAATAAAGCACATAATTTTCCATGCTGGTGTGGTTTGCGTTTGCAATTGGAAGGACTGTTTGAAACTGGGGGAACACGGCTGACAGTCCTGCAGTGTATCTAATGTTTTATTAAGTACTTTACTATTTTGAAAATATAGTCTTAGAAAGCAACAGAGAAGCAAGAAAAGACAGAGGAATAGATTTACAGTTCTTTGAAATCTGCAACAAATGAAGCCATACGCTAACTGGGCATTATGTATTTGAAGCTGGTCATAGATTGTTATTTCCCGATATTTGTAAGTTAAATTGGACAAAAGTCTATCACACTTACACTGCTCAAAAGCACACTGGTGAAAATAACTAATATTTAATGACCATGTGAGTGCAGTATTTAACCAGATGTTGCAATTCACGGTGAGGAGGTGTTCTCCCCCTTCAACATTTCCCTTATGGCATATTCATCTGCAAGATGATAAAATGCAGGCGAACATTTACATCTTTATGCATGTTATTAAGATTCTTTTAATCCTTTGCATTAACATAAATCTCTAGTGTAATCTTTGTAGTCACCAGGAATATCAAATGTTTCCTTTATAATAACGAGCAAGAGTAAATGCAACTTCCTGCCCAACAGGATAGTTCTTTTCATTGCTGCAAACAATTTGCACTTATTTCAGTAACAATTAGATTTGACATCAAATTAAGCAGAGAATATTTCAGGTGTTTTATTTCAGTTGTTCATTTTCTATATTTCAATGAAGACACGTTCTTTCATCTCTAGCAGAAATCTCTTGCGAGAGTCAAGTACTGGCTATTCTTCTGCTTTTGTAAACATTCATACTAATTTGTATAGCATATCCTTGTCCATATGTACATTTAACCACTTGAAACAATGATTTTAAAAGTCAGAAGGGCTTACTGGAACAAGTCTCAACCTCTACAATTATGCCAAATTTGAAAGCCCCAGTAATTTCTTGGGTTTGAATTACACAACCAAGTTTAGAGCTCTACCAAACCTGGCACTGTGCAAACACATGGGAAGAAATGCTCTGCTCCGCACAGCTTTGCGATTACAGACTCCCTCCCCCACCCCAAAAAAGCTCATACAGTGAATTCTCCCAGAAATAGCCCATCTCTATTTTGCTTTTTAAAGTTTTAACAGGAAAAAAAAAAGTTGGACAAAGATCTTGTATTGAAAGCTTAACTGACAGTCTCACATGATTTAAGAGACATCTGACATTAGAATTTCATTCCTACCAAGTTTTTTGTCCAGAAAAAAAATTGTACATACAGCTCCGTCCTTCTGATGTCCAGCCAGAGCTCTTCTATTGGAACCAGGTACCATTCCCTGTCTGCCCGCCCTAGCTCCCCACCACCACCTTGCTGCTGCAGTTAACTACCTGTCCTCCTTTCCACCCACTCGCATATCTGTCAATCTACTCATATGACCAGGGAACAAGCCTTTTTATTTAAGATAACTGGATTTTTGCTAGCCTGGCTCAAATCAGCAGAAACTGGATAGGGACTATTCACCTGGGCTGCTCAGCCAACAGATAAGAGTGGCTGGTAACCTTCCTCATTAGGTCACGCTGAGTACCACCTGGGGCACGCTCGGGGCATTAATTTCTTCTCAGCACAAACAGAAAAACACTGATTCTGATAGTGGCACGATTTCTTTGCATAGGCAAGAACACCACAGGGAATTTGAGTTAGGCCATCCTTAGCATTTAATGACATTTAACACTCTAAAAAGTGATGGCACTCTAACAGATGCAATTGCTTTGCCTGGTAGCTAAGGAAATCAAATACTCACAAATACAAAGAAAGGATATAAGAAATATTGGAGTCCTTAAGATAGGGGCTGATTTCTGTAAATTGCTGTAGCTTCTCTTTAGGGTTTGATCCTGGGAGCTGCTAAAGCAGGACAGAGTCCCAGTGCAGGCAGCGTGTTAGCCCTGCTCCTGCAGACCTGTGCTGAACTTCAAGTCAGGAGGTGAACCTCCCCTGAGAGGAGGTTTTAATTCATCTCATTGCAGCACCATTACAGCAGAAGCAAGCATATAGACTCACAGGGTACCTCCATGATGTGGCCAAGGTAAAGCTGGATATTATTTGTGCTAGCACTCTAATGGAAAGATTAAAGAACTTAATCCTACAGCTATATCCACATTGAAGACCTGGCTTTGTCCTCCTCCTTCCCCCTTCCCACCAATTTCTTTTTGGTTTGGTATACATACACTGTATCAGTATAAATAGAAGCACTATACATATATATATTTTTTTAAACCAAAAAACTGATATAACCACAAGGTCAAGTTTACATCTGAAAGACTTTGTTGGTATAATTACACATCATTAAAAAGTGTTTGCTGTACAGATAGAAATACCAGCAAAATTGCACTTCTAACTCTAGTATCTAACTGTAGTGCTTTTTCTAAACCTTTTCTTCCAATTTTTTTAATTAAAAGCTTTAACTACTCTAACAAAAGCTTTTGACAGTAAGAGGAATAAGACTTTCAATGACAGATGAAGACTGGTAGGGTTTTTTTCTGGGGGGACAAACATTGTTAAATAAATCATTCATATGCTTATGGCAAACTGTATACAGCACAAACATTTTTTTTTTTTTTTACACAACATTTCAAGGAAGACAGAAGTTTCCTTCCAAATACTTGAAAATGCTTAATACTGGCTGGTTGCATTAATTCACATCTGTTATCTGGATCTCTTATTCCCTACTGACTAGCAAAAACAGGGCAAGAAAGCATTCTGAAGAGAAAGAAAAAAGAAACTAGTCTGTCAAGATAACAAACACCAGAAAAAAGAGGTGCATTGTCTCAGATAAAAAAAGAGGCAAAGCCACAGACAAGTAACTTATGTTTTCATGTCAAAATATTTAACAAAAGAGCAACAGTTTTTACTAGAAGGCATTGTTTTTAAACTGCTCATTTCCCTTTGGATTATTTTGTCATTTTTCCTCCATGAAAAAACCCTGACACTTTGATAGTGCAACTGAACTTTTTTCAGAACTGTTCATTCTGCAAAATTGCATTATTTTAGCCTTTTCTTCATATAGAAAGTTTTTATTCAAATTTATATGGGCAGTTCAAATTTGGGTTTTCGCACCAAAAACTCTTGTTTTCGAACAAACAGCATAGTTCAGAAGTCAGCCAAGGTGAACATCTAGCATTGCTACACTTACCTGAAATCATTTTATCAACCCATTTTTCACTTTTTGGCGCATTTTATAAATAGATGGCTTTGTTACTACTAGACTTTTCATTAACCCATACTCCGAGTTCTCAGCTTAAAATATTAAGATATTTTTACTTCTAATCCTTTTCTGCCCTACCTCTCCATTTGCACATCCTGTTGTCTAAGAACTACCACCTACCCTAGGGTCAAAAAATACAGGTAGCATAGGTGCTGACAGCAGGAAAGCTGCCTTCTTCACACAGGTTAAATAGACCTGCCTCTTGGCTTCATTAATCCTTTCTTAGCTTGGTTCTGGTATTGCAGATGCTTCGCTTAATTCTAGCTGCAGTATCTCTCCATTACGTCCAATATTTAGATGTCTTCTGTACTCCAGTTTTCCCACCTGAAGAGTTCAAGAAACACAGTAGTAGTAACATACTTACAGTGACAATTCGAGACTCAAAGCACCTCTTAAAATTCTCATTTATACCTCCATAGGAGCATGGACACAGCTCACAAGTCACGATGTGGCACAGAAACACTAATAAATCTGAATCTTAGCCCTTACGCCTCTTAAAGCTGACTAAAGTACGTTACAAAAAAGAAAAGGGATTAAGTCAGGTACAAAGAATAATATGCTCCCATTAGATGTTTCCTGAATAAACCAGGGATAGCGCATTTTTAAAGGTGAGACTTTCATCTAAATTGAGCCCAATTTAACTTTCTGTCCTGGCCCTCCAAGCTGCCATTTGCAGTTCTGTCACTCTGCAGGTACTTCAGCAGAAGAACTACATGGACAAGTCACCGTGCCCAGAACGCAGCCAAGTGACACACACTAGCACTACAATATGCAGTTTATCTAGAGTTGCAAGATCTGGTACTAAAAACAGTGGGTTTTTTTTACTTTAAGATATAGTTTAAGAATTTAATATTGGGATGGCCTGTACATAAAGTTCATAGGGACCTGAAAAAACAAATCATCTCCTCTGAGATATTTGTGTCCTTAGATTTTTTCAGCTAGCTCTCCCATTTAGGTAACAACATTAATGTCAACATAATTACCAATGGTAGAAGCAAGAGTGCACTTACCACATGAATCCATGTATACCTATTTACATATATACATGTGTATAATGTATATGCAAAAATCTGTGCATATAACTTTATACATGCTACAGTAACTACAAAGATTTTAATAATAAGAATTCACAGATGCGTGAGGGGGATATTCCCCACACTAATCATGCCACCTTATCTGAAAGTAGAGTTCCAAAATTGAAAAGTTTTTATTATTACTTTATTATTGATGCAAGCTGCATTAAATCATTCCATTGACAGGCATTCTTTTCCCTCTCCCAGAAAGGGGTTACATGGGTGTCTGCACGTAGCCCAGCTAACTGCTTGGAGGAGAAATGTTAACTGTACAGATCTCAGCCTGGTCTATTCAATCTTATATTTCAGCAATACCAAAACATCATCATCTGCAGGCAGCAGTAGTTTGTTTTCAATGCAAGACACAAGTCACAGCACAGCTTGTTTGAGCTGACAGCACTTCAAGGGATTATTTTCAAGTTAGCATTGTTATTTGTGGTGACTTCAAAGTTTCAGCCTGCACCTGTGCACTTGGGAAGCATCCCAAGCTTCATACAACAAAATGCATGCAACTAATTTTCCTCCCAAGACAACAGCTACTGATTGGGGGGAGCCAATAATTTTCCTAGCTCTCAGCAGCAGAGCCTAACAGACAAGCCTGTAAACACACACACCTCTAACAGCTTCCAGCACGGCTCTGCTTTAGGAGTCCAGCACGGCTCTGCTTTAGGAGT